CTCTCTCTCTCTCTCTCTCTCTCTCTCTCTCTCTCTCTCTCTCTCTCTCTCTCTCTCTCTCACACACACACACACACACACACACACACTCACACGCTGTGAAGGCACACGGGGATGTGGGCAGCTGCTGCTCAACCACAATCAACGTGGGCAGCCTTGTGCGTAAGAGGCACAGTAAAGGGGAAGCTGCAAGAACAATGAAAGGGGTACCCCAAGGACAACCCAAAAACTGTCTAATTATAAAATTGCTTTAATATGTTGGACATCTCAAATGCTCTCGTTGTCTGGAATAGGACAAAGACTGCTTTGATTCTGAATCTATTCATCTGGGTGGAATTGGGGCTGTTGTGGGGAAAATCTATAACACACACGCTCATAGAGAGCATACAGTCTTGGAAAGACTTTATGGGAAGTTCCCTCGCAGCTACTCTTCGCAAGAGGATTTCACAGTTTTGAGAAACCATCATTTTGGCTGCTGAAGAAGCCACGTGTCCGCTCGAGTTCGGCTGCACGATGGCATGCGATGCTGATCTGTATACATCATCTACTGTTTTTTTGTGTGTGTGATCACGTCCCACGCTGAATCTCTCGTGTGTGTACAATATCTACTACTTTTGCAGATTCCATCCTTTGCGTCTCTACCCTGAAGAGGAAGGGTCTCAACCAAGCACCAAGAAGCCGGTGGTCGTTGAGTCGTACGATGAGCTTGTTTTCACGGAGCCTTCTGAAGGCTTCCTGCAACGTATATTAAATAACCCGTGCGTTCAGATTTCTTATGGGCCCACTGCACAGCCAATTGCTCCGCCAGCTGATGGTTCTGGCACAAACCCTTCAAGTGGAGATGGAATGCCCTCTTTGACAGCACATCCAGAAAAGAAGGATGGGTCGACAAAGAACCACAATCTGGCGCAGTACTTCCTACAGCACTCGGACGAGGAGGAGCTTGCAGCCCTGCGGGAAGCTCGGAGGCAGGTAAACACTGTCGTCTCCCATGCTGAGGAGAGATTGGTTTTCTGCTGTCAATAGCCTTGAAAATCAACCGTTTTATATTAGACGAGTGGTGACACTGGTGAGGGAGGTCTTACTATCTCATCAAAGTGCGATCGTTACAAACCTGCACACAAGCTGACAGCGAGAGGAGGAGTGTGTGTGTGTGTGTGTGTGTGTGTGTGTGTGAGAGAGAGAGAGAGAGAGAGAGAGAGAGAGAGAGAGAGAGAGAGAGAGAGAGAGAGAG